GGCTGTACTGCGATAGAGAGCCACTTCCAAAACGTGGGTCGGTCACATGTGTGCAGCAGACTTCTGCTGTGTCAGCCTCTACAGCACATCCCTTGGCATGAAACTTTTTCTTAATGTAGATGTCCAGATCATCCCATTTTACTGAGCTTAAATACATTTGATCTCAACATCTTTGAGTAAAATATCTCACTCAAACTGCATTTGATGGAAAGCAAAATTACAAAAAGCAAAATTAGCTGGGCATCCTCTTGTTGACTCCTGCAACTGCAGTCAAAGACCCAGAATGTTTTCCCACTGGCCCCTTGAAAAAGATACATTATTTTAAGATTCTTCTTTCCAATGATCTGCATGGACAGCTGAGATGTAGACTCCTCTGGTTAGAGGAAAAGTCTTTTTTCCCGTGTATCACTAATGTTACTCCTCTCTGTTTGCCAGGTGTGTTGTGTAGTGGAATACACATGAAACCCACCAAAAGCCTCTCTTTGCCTTTGTTCACACTCATGGAAACCTTTAAGAGATTCTTTCTTCATTAGATGACATCACATCAGCCTGAATCCATATCAGCTTTTAAATTGCTACAGCGTCTGAACTGTCTACAGCAGAATGTGTCCATGTTGACTCATTACAATTCTGAAAAAAATCACCTCCGACCACTAACAAAAGGGGTAGTGTATCTTGAGAACTCTGTGTATGACAAACTGACATATACAATAAATATGAATGTTACTGCAGTAACAGATTGAAATTATATAGTTCATTTAAACCTTTTTCCAACTTCAGCTTAGTCCCAGCTAAAGCACACAGGAAATAAACATATTGAGCTGTCTGGCACCAGGCAACTCTCCAGGTCCTGCTCTGTCTAGCACTGGGCTAGGCTTATCCATCCAATCAACATTAGGGGGTTTATTTATGTGAGACGTATATTAGTAATAAATGGATTTATTCAGTAGCTTGGTGGATTTATACAGGTACAAAATCATTTTAGTTTAAGGAAACTTAAAACGGAGTGACTCCAATACTTTGACGGGCTGTATCCTGAAGCCCTTATGCAAATTCTATTCTCTTCTTCACAAGAAAAAAAAAAAAGAAAAAAAAAACCCCAAACCAACCCCCCTAAGCCAACCCTAACCGAAGTCAAAGGGATGTTTGCTGGAGCAAAAACTGCAAAAGACTTAGGAACTGGTGAAATGCAAGTGAAGATGCAGCTAGCCAAGTGGCAATTCAGAGGATTATGGTATATTTATATATATTTTATGGGTATCTTTCTATACATTTTATATAATATTCCATATGTAAAAGCCCGTTTTAATTTTTTACAGACCAAGATAATCCGCAGAAGAGAAACAACTGATAGAATTCAGAGGGGATATCTGGGTTTTCTTTATCGCACCTATTTGTACTCTGGACAGATTTTGGTCTAAGGCATTAATTTGACACGCAAGGCAGGTCTGTGCCACGCCGAAGTCTGTTTTCACCGATTCGTCTGTTTTTTAGAAAACAAGGCAGAGAATTCGCTTTAGTGCTATGGTTTATCCATTTCAATCAGATAGTGAGTGGCACATTCTCACCCCATTTGCAGTTTTTAATTCCAATTGGACATTGCTTTTGAAATGTCCCTTCTCTTTTCCCCCTTTATGCTGCCACTTGAAAGTTGAAATGTAGCAAGAATGTAATGTTAGGTGCCAGTTTTCTGAATTACAGGGTGACTGCTTTAGCTGATCCCAAAAAGCAAGTGTCTTTTTATACCGCATAAAAGCCTGAAATGTTTACATATCAAAAGGCTATAGGCCAATTTCTGTCAAAATTATACATGAAGTTAAGCAGTACAAGCAATTTATTTAAACACTAGTCATTGTAGAAAAATTCAAAACCATATGCTCTTTTAGCAGTTTTTCACAAATGCATTTGACCCATGACTTGGCAAGACATGCATGCTTCATAATTTACTCTAAATTTCAAATCCCCATGACATTTAAATAAAAGATCTTCATTAATAAAGTTTATATGAATGAAAACTTTAGAAGCCGATATTGTTAGAGGAAAGCTTTAGGAAAAAAAAAAAAAAGACAGACGCGTTTCTGCCTCGTTTTCAAATGACTGACTTTCCTAATCAGTTCAAGATAAGTTTATTCTGGGAACAAATTACCGTAATTTTGCATTGTATGATTTTTTTTTGGGGGGGGGAGGGGGGGGGGGGGGGGGGGGGAGGGGGGCTGGGGGTTTATAACCCTTAGCATTTTTTAAAATAGATATAAATCCTGTGACAAATTGGACTCTTCCACAGATAAAAGAAATCCGAAAATGGCTGCAAAAGCTAATGAGCGAGCTTTTATACATACGCATTGGCAGCCCACAACTCTTCTGAGAGCAGAAACTTGTTAACTTGGGTTCCATTTTCACCGCGTTGTGCATCCCCGGAATTATTCCTTAATACCTTAAAATAAAAAAACCGGCCGGTTTCCCGACGAGCGCGTTTTCACAGACTCGCGTATGGTGATTGCTTGGTATGAAATCGTGTTTGGGTAATAATATTGAAAATCAGTGCAGTGTTTACCTTATTCCATACCTAACAGCTTGCTCTGCCCGGTGCTATACTCCTCTTTAGATCTCCCTTTCAACCCATGCTGTGACTGCCCTCCGGTAACAAACAATTGCTTAGCAACACTACGCAGCACAATTTGCTTGCGTTTCATTTGTTATGACAATTTCATCCCGACAGTGTGTGACAACTGATTGTTTGTTTAACGCAATTTTACGTTTGCAAAGTTAGCGAAGAGCGGATGCGGAACGAGAAACTCCGAGAGCGGGTTTCGCGAAGCGGGCGTCAAAACCGGGGGGTTCACGGCACGATTTCAGAGATTAAAACAGAAGGAAACAAAAGAGAACTTCCCCGCGGGGGTGACAAGTTATGTGAAAAAGTAATCTCTAGATTATGAATTAAGGTAAACCTCGCAGCCTGGTGGATGGGTCCTTCAGCAGAGCCTCTTTCCCCATAGAAAAACTGGTCGGGAAGCCGAGCGCCGGCTCAGCCCCGGCGGCGTGG